ACATGAACTAGGAGATCCGAGACTGTCCAGGTGAGCAACGAGGAAGGCCTTAGCAGGTGGGACAGAGGACAGTGGGAAGGCCCTAACGAGGGAGCACCCAAAACTCAGGGAGGAGCTGGGTGTGGAGGAGGGCAGGGACTCCTGGTTCCTGGTGGATCTGGGGGACCTGGGGGTGGGGGACCTGAACCAGGACGAGATATCCAGGAGGAGGAGCAGGCGAGTGTCAGTCGTTCTGAGTGTGGTGTCTGGGGTGAGCCCTGGTGCACGGCTGGGGGTGTGGGTCTCAGCCACAGATCTGGGTGACCTTGGCGATGGAAGTCTACCACGGATGAGCTCCCCCAGAGGGAGTGGGTCTCTGAAGAGAGAAGAGAACTCTGGGTAACACCAGCACCCGGAAGATGGGCGGGGGAAGAGAGCCAGACCCCAGTCTGCCCCCTCCACACTGAGGTTCTCCTCAAAGCCTCAGTCAGTGCAAACCCTTCATGGAGCTCCCCCCCCCCCCCATGGGAATGGGCCTTCCCCCCTTTAATAACATTAGAGCCCGACACAGCACAGCCCCTGCACACCCCACACTCAATAATACCGAGTGAGGAGGAAGGCTCGGGAAGGAGGGCTGAGCCGGGTGGACCTTGGTAATTCCCTAAACACCCAGCACTGTGCCAGCACATAGTAGGTTCCCAACAAAGAAACTCTTAATGCCATCTGACTCTTAACAAAAAGGTACATGTACAAAGAAGAAAGCAACCATGCCACCCCACCCCCTCAATCCAAACACCTAGCATTCACCAGAGTTAGCCTTCGGTGCACCTCAGCCCAGGTTTCTCCTTATGTGTATAGTCAGATAAAAGACGACATGGACGGCCCGGCTGGCGTGGCTCAGTGGTTGAGCACTGGCCTGTGAACCAGGAGATCACAGTTTGCTTCCCAGGCAGGGCACCTGCCTAGCTCAATCCCCAGTGGGGGGCAGGCAGGAGGCAGCTGACTGATGATTATCTCTCATCATTGATGCTTCTGTCTCTCTCTCCCTCTCCCTTCCTCTCTGAAATCTATAAAAAGATATGTTTTTTTTAAAAAGATGGGTGGCTGATGGGAAGATAGACAAGGCAATTTTACAAAAATATAATCATACTGAATGAGGGGTTACTTTAGCGTGAAAAGCATGAAACTTAATCGTACTAGAATTAACTGAAGAGAAAGATACTGACATGAAATGGAAAAATAGCTCGGCTTAGATAAATGCTAATTCATCACAGGAGATATTAGTTCATAAAAGATCCCTCCGAAGGAGAGAGACAGAGAGAATGTGAAAACCACCAGGGGGTGAGAGTCATTATGGTGTGTGTGTTTAATGACATGTTTCCATTTTAGATGCCATGGGCTGACTGCTTTAGAAATTCTTAGTAAGTGCACTTCCATCTCCCCTCTACCCACTCCCTAATTTCTGCTGTTTAAACTATTTTTCACTTTGCCAGGTTTTACATTTGCTTTCTGTTCTGCAACCAGCCTTCACCCGGTCGCTCTTCGTAGTTCTCTCCTTAACCAGATTGGAAGCTAACCACCAGTCATTCTAACAGTGTCTGTATTATTGTGTTGTGTTTTTTTTTTCTTTTGCATCATCTCTTAGTTGGCAGGACTTTGTCACCGAACACTATTTCCCCAAAGAGGGGCACAGCTGAGGGAGAGGGGTACCCACGTTTCTGACTCGGGCATCTGGGAGGTGCTCTTGAATGAGATGAGATATTGGGGAAGGTGAGGCTGGGAGATGACGCCCGGGGGACACCCAAGGGAGACGTTTTGTGTGCGACTGTCTGCAGGAGCCTGAAGCTTGGCGGGAACTTGTGGACTGGATGTGTAGACTGGGGGTCATCTGCACACAGGTGAAGGTTAAGGCCACGGCACACACATCACCCCTATGGTCCGGAGGACATGAGCAGAGGAGGATGGAAGCTAACCACCAGTCATTCTAACAGTGTCTGTATTATTGTGTTGTTGTTTTTTCTTTTGCATCATCTCTTAGTTGGCAGGATTTTGTCACTGAACACTATTTTCCCAAAGAGGGGCACAGCTGAGGGAGATGGGTACCCACGTTTCTGACTTGGACATCTGGGAGGTGCTCTTGAATGAGATGAGATATTGGGGAAGATGAGGCTGGGAGATGACGCCCGGGGGACACCCAAGGGAGACTGAAGCTTGGCGGGAACTTCTGGACTGGATGTGTAGACTGGGGGTCATCTGCACACAGGTGAAGGTTAAGGCCACGGCACACACATCACCCCTATGGTCCGGAGGACATGAGCAGAGGAGGAACAAAATGAGGAGGACATTGAGAAGGAACAGGTCAGAGATGTAGGTGACAACCAACAGAAAATATGAGAGGACATGAACAATACCAAGAGCGGAGTTTCAAGAAGGGAGGGCAACCACGTCCGATGCTGCAGGAAGGCCGCTGGTGGCCCCGTCAAGAGCCATTCAGTGGCATCAGGGGCGGGGCCAGGTTTCAGGGGCTGAGGAGCCAAGGGAAGCCCTCAGCTGTGCTCACTGGGAAAGCTTTGATCTCTGTCCTGCCCGCAGTCTGACGCTCACGCTTTTTGGAAGTTGCTAGTTCTCCCCTTGTTTTGCCTAAACAAGGCCGTGGCTTTCAGTGTGTCTCCCTTCCCCGGGGGGCTGAGCGCACAGTGTCTGCTGTGCTCTCTGTGTCCCCCGTCCTGCTCAGTGTCCAGTCTGCCTCACGGCCTCCTTGGTTGCAGAGGGACACATGAGCAGAGGAGGAACAAAATGAGGAGGACATTGAGGAGCAACAGGTCAGAGATGTAGGTGACAGCCAACAGAAGATATGAGAGGACATGAACAAAACCAAGAGCGGAGTTTCAAGAAGGGAGGCCAACCACGTCCGATGCTGCAGGAAGGCCGCTGATGGCCCTGTCAGGAGCCGTTCAGTGGCATCAGGGGCGGGGCCAGGTTTCAGGGGCTGAGGAGCCAAGGGAAGCCCTCAGCTGTGCTCACTGGGAAAGCTTTGATCTCTGTCCTGCCCGCAGTCTGACGCTCACGCTTTTTGGAAGTTGCTAGTTCTCCCCTTGTTTTGCCTAAACAAGGCCGTGGCTTTCAGTGTGTCTCCCTTCCCCGGGGGGCTGAGCGCACAGTGTCTGCTGTGCTCTCTGTGTCCCCCGTCCTGCTCAGTGTCCAGTCTGCCTCACGGCCTCCTTGGTTGCAGAGGGACAGCTCTCCGAGCTCCGGGACCTGGCCAGCTCCAGGCTGCACCTTGTGCGGTCCTCCTCCTGGGAGCGACACTGGAGCTCTCCAAGCCCAGGCCCCACACACTCAGCACGTGCCCCTGCTGCCCCCACCATCTTCTCGCAGTCTCTCGGCCTCTTGATGAAATAACTGCAGAAGCTCAGAGCTGCAGGAGACCTCACATCTTCAGCCCCTGAAGGGGGCAATCGAGGGAGAGTGATTTGCCTACAGCCTTGCTGAGGGGGTCAGGACGGAAGCCACTGTTTCCGGCCCCTGTGTGAGCCTCTGGTCTGGAGATGTGGCCACCCTAGAGGTCTAGGGCATGAAGAGGTCCACAATCTCTTTCACTCGTTCCCCCACCCCCCACCCAGGGACTGAGCTGGACAGTGCGCTGTAGGAAGCCTCTCAAGACCCAGAGGTAGCCACGGGGCCCACTGGCCTCACCCCCAGTTTTAAGGGTCTCCTGTGGAGGTGGCCCTGGAGCCCTTCCCTGACCTCTCCCTCCCCCCTCTGCTGTCACAGATACAGAGGCCATGTTCCCGGTGTGGCCTCCTCCTTCGGTTCCACCTACGGCACCACCACCTTCAAGTACTTCCAGGACCACCGCAATGCAGCCATGGAGAAGAGCCACACCCACTTCTGCAAAGGCGGCCACTTCCCGACCATCTTCTCCCCAAGCCCCAGCCTCCTGCAGAGTCACTGTGCCCGCTGGCTGCTCAAGCCCACCTACACCCGCTTCAACCTGGACAGTGACCGCTCCCTCGAGCTCACCCGCTTCTACCAGGTGGGCTGGGCCAGGGGAGACCTCTCACCCCAGAGCCCCGATCTCCCCTCACCCAGGGGCTCCAGTGACTCTTGCCCCTGCTCCCCCACCACCGACGGGAGAGTTGGAGCCTTTGGGGATGTGCCCGCCCTCGCCTCTGCCCTGTGGCCTCTCGGCCCCGTGGACCCTTCTTTATCTCCTCCCTGAGTAAAAGGCCAAAAATTCATCCCCAAGATGAGCCATGCATGCACAAAGGGCTCACTAAGTGCCCACCTAGCTCCAGCCCCAAGTCTGCTCTCGCCTGGACATGCTCACCTGGAGCCAGGTGCCCACCTGACACCACCTGCTCCACCGGCCTCTAAGGATGTGCCCCCAGTGGACCTCAGCCCCAAACTGGACCCTAATTGCCCGGGAAGGAAGAGGCAAATGGAGGGGACCTGCCCACACCCCAGTGTTCTTGTCTGGTTGCTCTGGCCTGGTGCAGACCTGTCCTTGCAGGCATGGTGCTTGGCTACCTCTGTGGGGGCCGGGCTCATCCTCTGCTTGGTCCTAGAAACCTCACTGTCACTCACCCCCTTGCAAACGTCCCTCCCTCCTGGTCAAGGACATGGGTGCACAGGGAGCTCCAGGGAGGGGACCCGGTGGATGCCGTCAGACTCTGAGGTGCTGGGGGGCCATCTCAGTGGGCCTGGGGAGGCCTTGCTCTCCATCTTGGCTCTCACTCAGAGCACGGTCTGTCCAGGAGGGAGGGAGAGGGAGAAAGAAAGACACGGAGCGTACCCGTGCCACCTGCTGAGCCGGGCCTCGCATGCCTCACCTCTGCTGGTCACTTGTCTCATTTACTCTCCATAGCGAAGCTGGGGGGGTGCGTGTCCTCATCCCCATTAGACAGATGAGAAGCCGGGCCCGGAGAGGGCACCCCACTGGGGACTCCTGGAGGCACCAGGGGAGACAGACACCCCCCTGCTCAGGTACAGCCAGGTGGGGACTGCAGGTGCCCACGGTCACTCCTGCACACTCACCACCGGCCATCTCTTTCCCGGTCCCCTGTAGCTGGCACAGCAGCATCGACATCACTATCGAGACAAGACAGGCCTGGTGCCCCGGGTCCCCTACTTCGTGCTGCCTGTGGAGGAGCGCGAGCGGTACCCCATCCCCACCGACCTGTGAGTGCCTGCCTTCCCTCCGTCCATGCATTTAACAAACACATGTCCACAGGGCACCTGCCCTCAGCCAGGCATGCGGGCGCCCAGACTGAGAAATGAGTTAAGACCTTGCCCTCAAGCAGTGGTTCTCAACCTTCTGGCCCTTTAAATACAGTTCCTCATGTTGTGACCTAACCATAAAATTATTTTCGTTGCTACTTCATAACCGTAATGTTGCTACTGTTATGAATTGCCATGTAAATATCTGATATGCAGGATGGTCTGAGGCGACCCCTGTGAAAGGGTCGTTCGACCGCCAAAGGGGTCGCGACCCATAGGTTGAGAACCGCTGCAAAGGGTCAGGGTTCTGGAAGCCTCAGGATGCTAGGAACCTAGCCAGATGCACTGGGAGTTTGGGAGCAAACACCTGAATTTTTGCTGGGCTGCATGGGTAGCTTTTTCCTTGAAACGGCAGCCAAACGCTGGTGCAGCGCCCTGAGCAGCAAGGAGCTGCTGCCCTCTGATGGACATGGAGGGTACTACCCAGAACAGGGAATCAGTGCCTGGACCCCAACCAGACTTGGAAAGTGTTCTCTTAAGGGCTTGAAATAGCTTTCAAAGTCCAACCGTCCATATGACAAAATAGGAAAGTCCCTCAATGCCTGCACCTCACTGCTTTTGTCCGGGAGAGATGTTCCCCCTGCAAGATGATCGGGCACACGGTTCCTCACTCTCCCTCCTGATGCCCAGGCAGGGAGGTCAGAAGTCTGTGCCATCCAGGTGTCATGTGGGGTAGGGGGCATCAGGAGGTCAGCGGGCAGATCTTGGCTTTCTAACTCCATTCTGACCCCTTGCTTACCTCACGAGCTCTGAGCCTGGCCATCGTCATTGTTGATAAAGCAGCAACTCTTTCCATAGAGGTTCTCTCTGCAATACAGATGAGCTCGTCTTATAAATAGGAGCTCTGAGGCTTAGCAATAGTCTCGGAAATGTGTGCCAGGTGGCAAGTCTGGTGGGAGGCAGAACCTGGAGGAACCCAGGTCTCCTGATGCCAACTCTAGGAGTCAGTCCAAACCTGGAGACAGTGTGGGGCTTTTCCTGGAGTCAGATCTCCTCTCGAAACCACTCTGGGCAGGATTTTCACCCCCCACAGCTGTGGGGATCCCAGGACACCCCAGCTTTGTTTCTTCTCCAAAATGTCTGGCAACCTGTCCTGCTGCTGATGGCTTCATGCCCAACCTGGAGGAACCCAGGTCTCCTGATGCCAACTCTAGGGCCCTGGGTTAGCCATCTCCTTGGGGTGGCTCTGAGTCAGTCCAAACCTGGAGACAGTGTGGGGCCTTTCCTGGAGTCAGATCTCCTCTCGAAACCACTCTGGGCAGGATTTTCACCCCCCACAGCTGTGGGGATCCGAGGACACCCCAGCTTTGTTTCTTCTCCAAAATGCCTGGCAACCTGTCCTGCTGCTGATGGCTTCATGCCCGATACAGAGGCCCACCCAGGTGGTAGGGAGTGAGAGGGTCAGTGTCTGCATTCAGCCCTTTCCTAGATTGCCTCATGGCCTTCCATGAGTTCCATCACCACCAACACCATCATTGCCATCATCACCACCACCACCATCACCAACACTATCATCATTGTCATCACCACCAGCACCATCATTGCCATCATCACCACCACCACCATCACCAACACCATCATTGTCATCATCACCAGCACCAACACCATCATTGTCATCATCACCATCACTACCATCACCAACACCATCACCATTACCATTTCTTATAACATTTGTTGAGTGTCTGCTCCTTGTCCAGCATTATGTTACGTGCTTTGTATGCATTGCATCATTTACTCCTCAACAGAAAGCTAAGAGGGAGGTACCAACATCAGTTTGTTTGATATGTGTACACTTCTAGCAAGAGTTGGGCCAGAATCCATCCCAGGTCTGTCTGACATCCACGTCTTCACTCTTAGCCACTCTACTGTTGTGCAAATATAAGTTATGTCAAGTGCAGGGTGATGTCACATGTTAAGCTGATGAGCGGGGTCACCGTGGGCTGGGAAATGGGCAGCTGGGGCTGTGGCTGGGCACTGTCACCCTCCCTCCCTGGCATAACACTGACGTTGTCTTTACCCCCAGGCCTCCTCTGAGCGCGAAGAATAAGTGGCACCTTTTTAGAGTCTCCCCCGAGAACCGGAAGGTCTACCAGACGTTCCCGTCGGGGAAGAGGGTCTCCTACCAGGAGCGGCAGAGAAGAGACGCCTACTTTGAGTTTAGATCGTGATGCCCGAGAGCCGTGGCCTTAACGGGGCTGGCTCTTTGGAATAAAATCTATACCATGACCATCCCATAGTCCTCTCCTCTGAGCCCCAGGAGCACGTGGCTGCAGCAGGGCAGTATCTGAGGATCACATGGCACTAGGTCTTCAGGGCTGTGGAAAGCTCAGCCCAAGGGGTTCAAGCCAAGATAAAGTGGTGCCCGGGGACCTGCTCACCCACGTCTCCCCCTGAGCTGAAGGAGGTAGAACTGAGAACTGCAGGGCTCCTGAGTCTCAGGTGCAAAAATACCTTCCACCCGCCACCACTGGTGTCATCGAGGAAGCCCCGTTAGCCCATGTCTGAGAATGAGGATGAGGGGACCTCAGACAGTGGCACTGGGTGTCATCTGCAAAGGAAGCTCCATCCGGGCCCTGGCCCAGCATTGTTTAGTCCACACAATAACGTGTAAGAGAAGTGAAGTTACTGATAAAGACACCGAGGCTCAGAGACGTTGCCCAGGCTCACACAGCTTGGAAATGATACTGTCAGGGTTTGAACCCAGGTCTGACCCCCAAGTCCTGGTTTTTCCACTACACATCCTCCCTAGGGTCCATGTGGAGGCTGAGGGGCAGGGGTGACGCAGCCCTTGGGATCCCAAAGGACTCCGTGGTGCCCGGGAGAAGCGCACCTCCCTGTGTTCTCCCCAGACTGGCATGGACAGGCTGGTTTGCCATCTCCCCCCCCGGGACAGGAGGGGGAGACCCAGGACGGAGCCACTATTCAAGGAATCTTGATGTTTCAGGAACCTCTGGGCCAGAAGTGGGCCCTGGGAATGGGTTCTGAGGCCACACAGGCCTGAGGTGGCCTGGGAGGGCCAGGGTCCGGAGTGCCTGCTCTCTCCAGGCTGCTGCTTTCCACCTCCTGGGAGGCCACCTGCCTGGGACAGGGGACAGGATGTGGGTGACAGCCCCTCAGTGGACAGGATCTGGGATGGGACCTCCGGCCAGGTGTGTACCACAGGATTCCTCCAACATTCCAGGGTCCCTAGATTTGATCAAGGGACTCCAACCAGCAACAGGGCCCTTATTACCCATGAATAATGAGACAGGACCTGAAGGCAAAGGGACCACAGCAGGTTCAAGTACAGAGGGTGGAACTGCCCTTCCTGAGAGCCAGCATTTAGACCCCTCCCCCAGGACAGTGTAAGTAAGAAAAACCATGTTCCCACCAGATAGGCATCTAACAGCTCTCAGAGACCCCAGAGGGGCTCCTCCTGTGTCCCGGGGTCCCTGACCAGCTGCACCCCAAAGGGTCCCCGTGGGGGCCAAATCCATTCCAGGGCTTGGCCAAAGAGCAAAGCAAATAAACCCTGAATTCTGGTCACACACTCTCACATCCCAAGGGCGCCAAGATGTCTTCTCCCTCAACCAGGGCTGGGAAGCCGGGCGCCAACTGGAATGAGCGCTATGAACACCTCTCTGTACAGGCTGCGTGGAGAGGTGCGAGGAAAGGGGTCGAGGTAAGGGGTGGGGGGCTCCAGTGAAGGGAGGGAGGACGCATCTCTTCCTGGTGGACTTCATCCCATCTGGCCTGGCCCTGCTCGACGAAGGCTGGGGTTTGAAGCCTGCCCCCCAAAGCTGGCCATTCCAGCTTGCTTGGCGTCAGCGGCGAACTTAAGCCCTGGAATGAGCAGATCTTAATAAAAAAGATTTCTATGTGACCCTGCCTTCAAAAAATGATGAACTGATGGCAAAGAAAAGGCTTTTACTTTGCTTTATTAAATAAACAATATTCTGTAAGTGAGGGCAGGACAGGGACAAAGTCATATTTTTAATCAGAGTCCCCTGGAGCCTGAAAGGGGTTGGATTCCAGTCCAGTGGTCCCCTCGGAGTCACCAGGTCAGGAATTTGTGGCCGCATCAGCATCCCCAGAAGTGGATCCTAAAGGAGCTGAAAGAATCCATGAGCCACTGGGAGCCTGCAGGTCTAAGGCGCCTCTGACTTCTGGGCTCGCGGCAGTCCTAGCGGCATCCTCCTGTGCCCACCTCGCGTCCCTTCTCTGAGTAAAGACCAATTTGCAGCTCTCCCAAGCCAACCCAGCCTTCTTTGAGCAACTCTGCGCATCACTAGAATGCAAAGGGCGTTAGAACCTGGTGGTGCTGGAACCAAGGAAGAAATGGGAGAGATTCCAAGAAAAACTCAATGTAGACAGGATTCTGGCCTCAATTGTGTGTGGAAGGAGAGGAATTACCCTTGGGTGGGGTGGTCCCAAATGTGGACCCTCTTACAGAAAGTCTGCCCAAGCCACAGCCCCCGGCAGCCATGCTGGAGTGGAGAGCCTCTGCTCCATCCAGGTGGTTAGAAGAGGAATGGGCACCTGACCAGAGCTGGGCCAATTGCGTTCTCTCTCTGCAAAGTTGCTTAGGAGTCACTGAGGGTCATTCGAAGCCAAGGAGATGTAAACTTGACCGCTGTGGGGAGGCCGTATTTGGCCCCCTGTCTGACAAAGCAGAGATTGCTGGTTTGCATGTAGAGCTAAGGATGGAGTTGCTGGGGAGAGAGGCAGAGAACAGGCACTGCGAAGTCCCGGGTTCCTGACCTGTGCTCCCTGAGGTCTAGGTGTCCGTCCTTTTTTTACTGGTTTGTTAAATAGTTTTGAATGGGCATTCTTTCTTGCCATCAAATCACCTAGACTACGAGACCGAGGGCAGAATAGGACCCAGGAGCAACTGACGCAGGCAGAGATGCCAGCGCCGCTCACAGGGTGCCTAGCAGGCTGCCTCTGGAGGGTGCGTCTCTCATAACCGGAAGGCGCCAAACAAGCTTGTGCAACACGCCAGGGAAATATGGAGATGGCCGATTCTCTCCAGGTAGCCATTAAGGCCCCTTCCTGCCCAAAACAAGGTTTGGAAATGCTTGAGCTCTTCTCTGAGCTGCTCCACCACCAGAATCTTCACACCCCTTGCGCACCCCCAACTCCTAGTGACCCCTGGAGGTTTGGGGGGGGGAGAAGAGAGGACTAGCAGTGGCAAAGGCAACTCCCCAGATCAGTCCTAGAGCCCAGTGGGCATTGGGAGCAGCTGTAGAGGTGACATCTCCCCCATGCACAGAAGTGCCGGCTGTAGGGGAGCAGCACCTGAAGTTGGACCCTGCACATAATCTGCAAAGCCTGGAACGCAGTCCTCCTCTCACCTTGTAAAAAACTCTGCTCCCTGGCTCTTTCTAGCTTATCTAATTTCTCAGAAGTGCCAGTTTGGAAACTCATGACCCCCCGCCCCCCCGCCGCCCCCTAATTTCTCAGAAGTGCCAGTTTGGAAACTCATGACCGCCCCCCCCCACCCGGGGAAGACAGAGGTGCCCCACTGGCCGAAGGGAGACTGGGGGCCCTCCCCGTACCCCACTATGCTGGGCATACCCCACCCCATCCCCGCTCCAGAACACCTTACTTCATGAAGTCCGGAGCCTTGTTCATCGCGTGTTCAAACTCTGAGAAAGACAGCATGTTGTCATTGTCCAGATCCGACTCGTTCAGGACCTGGCCAGGGAGGGGGAGGAGCAGAGAGGAGTCAGGTTGAGAGAGTGAGATGGGGGCCAAAGGGAGGGGGAGGGGAATCCAGCATGCAGAGGCTCCCTGCCAGGAGCTTCACACATCCCAGAGTCCCTGACCCTGTGAGGCAGGGCTTCTCCTGCCCCTGCTGCCATCCCACCCCAGACAAGGACATAGACGTGCAGAGAAATGAGGTCATGTGCCCTGAGGTCTAGGACCTGGTGGGCTGGTCTCATGTGGGAAGAGCTCTCTTGGTGCCTCTAGCACAACGTTAGAGTGAGAATGAGTATTGGGGAACAGGGTGACATCTCCCCCACCCACTCCTGCCATTCAGTCACAAGCAGGGGCTCTGCACTGCAAGGGCCCCAGTTGGGTAGAGGAGAGAGTGATGACCCTCCAAGGTTTTAGTTTTGCTTCTAGTTTCCGTCTGGACCAAAAGCACTTGAGGGACAAGTGGATCCATGCCCTGGTGGGTTCGTGAGGCTGTCTTCATGTCCTGCCACACTTTGGACTGTCACTCCAGGACATCTGGCCATTATGTGATGCTGGATCATGTGGGGAAGGGGACAAGGTGATGTATACATTGGATGCCAAGCTGCTGTTGGGCCACCTGCCTGCAGTGTTGCTGAGAGGGACCCTTGGAATGGGTGGCTTGGGCATACTGTTCTGGGGACCAGGAAGGGAGTCATGGAAGGAAGTCCTGATCCTGGAGGAAAGACAGAAAGTTGGGGGGTAGTTGCCTCCAGCCTGTACCCAGCCCTCAGGGCACCTCCCTGCCTGCCATCTGAGCCTTTGGGTGCTGGCCTGTTCCACCCAAGCCTGTGCAGCCCAGGCACACACGTGGCTCGTGAGGTCAGTCAGCAAGTCCTCTGACACGTCATCGCTGTTGAGCAGTCGGAGAACAATCCTCTGCAGGTCCTCCTCATCAATGAAGCCATTCTCATTAAAATCTGCAAAGAGGAGGCAGGCCTGAGAGCAAGGAGGCACCAGCCAGGACCCCACAGGCTCCCATAGCCTGTGGGATGCCGCAACCCAGCTGTCCCAAGTGGGCCTAGAACTTGGCACTCAGTAAGATTGGGCAGGCCTGAGGAATGGGCACTACAGCAGCTGCAGATGAAGGTGGTGCTTAATCTATCTATCTATATAAAAGACTAATATGCTAAGTGTCCATCTGGGTAATGACATCACGTAGCAACACCCGGCTTCCTCTCCCTAGCGACTAGCCTCCTTGGAGTTTCTTCAGCCCAGGAACACAACTTGCTTTATAACCAAATGTCTATGAAGCATTTTCCTGTGCCTCATCTCATTTGATCCTCACAGAAGTCCTGGAATAAGTAGATAGGAGACTTGGTGGAATCCTATTTTCTTTTCATTAGCCAGAAAACGGAGATTTAGAAAGCTTAGAAACTTGACCCGACTGAAAAGAAGTAAGAAATGGTGGACCTTGAAAATGACTTCAGGTTTTCTTACTGCGCAGAAT